TGTATTTATTGTATTTTTCCCAGATTAACAAAGGCTTATTTCTTTAAATTTAGAAGTATTTTACTTGAAAAGAAGTGCAAGAAAGAGAGGTAGAAGAGGGATGGAGGTCCCATTATCCTTTTCAGGGCATACCTCCAGTGCCATGAAGACCTTCCACAAGGTCCTGCCTCTTAAAGGTTCTACCTCCCAGTAGCACCACCTTCAGGGCCTTTGGGGAAAATTCTAGGTCCAAACTATAGCACTCACTGATAAATTTAATTTAGGCCAAGGCTAGGCCTAAATATGTTGTGTTGAAAATAATGTTGTTCTCATACTTTATTATCTATTGCTGCCTAACAAAACTCAAAGTTTAGCAGCTTAAAACAGTATTTGTTATCTCTTGTGACTTTTGAGGCCATTGGTACAGTAGCAGGTTAATTGAGTAGTTCTGGCTTAGGGCTCTTACAAGGTTATATTGTAGGTAAGCAGTCAGCTGGGGCTGTAGCTATCTCTCAGGGCTCAGTTGGCATTGGGAAATCCACTTCTAAGCTCACTCATATGGTTGGCAGTTGTTAGCAGGCTGTAGTTCAGGCCTTGCTGACCACTCGAGACTTTGTTTCCTTGTAGCATAGGCCTCTCTATAAATTTATAAGAAACCAACTTCTTCTCCTGGAGAAACAACCAAGACAGAAGTTGTAACTTTCTTAAACCTAATTTAAGCTGATGTTGGGAGTAATACGCTGTTACTTTTCAAGTGTAAATAACTTGTCAAGCAGATGAACCCGCACCATTTGAGAAAAGACAGCACAGGAGTATGGGTACTAGGAGGTGGGGAGCAGTTAGATCGATCATCTTGGAGACTGGCTAATTATGTATAAGGAGCTGTTTTTTGTTGTGGAGGTAAATACACATAAATGTTGCCATTTTACCAATTTTAAGTGTGTCATTTATTGATAGTGCATTCATAATGTACAGCCCAGCACATTCCAGAGCATGATCATTACTCCAAAAGGAAACTCCATAATCATTAAACAGTTACTCTTTCTAGTCCCTGTGAACCACCAACTTTCTGTCTTTAGACTCTCTATTCTGGATATTTTGTATAAATGGAGTTATATAATATGTGACTTCTTTCATTTAGCCTAGTAGTGTCAAGCTTTAGTCACCTGGTAGCATGTAACAGTACCTTATCCTTTTTGTGTTTCATATTAACATTTCTGCTATTGTTTGGTGGTGGTTTTTATGTGTACAGTTAGGTCTCCTTATTTTGTAATATTATTTATGTCTTTTTCTTCATGTTCTATCTAGTTCTGTCCTTTGTTGCAGTCTCCAACTGTTATTGTTGAACTGTTTCTTTAGTTTTGTCAACTTTTACATCACACATTTTGAGCTTTGTTAGGTGTGGATGTGTTTATAATTATTAAATTTGCTGAATGGATTACCTTTTTGTCAATATAGTCTCCTTTGTAACAGTTTTTTTTTATGTAGTACTGGGGGTGGAATCTGGTGTTTCACACATCTCAGGCAGTTGCCCTACTACTGAACTGCATCCCCAATTCTTGCAACAGTTTTTGATTTAAAGTCTGTTTTGTGTAATACCCATTTAATTACTCCATCTCTGTTTTGGCTTCTGTTTGCCTGGTGTACCATAGTCCATCCTTTCACTTTCAACATTTTCAGGTCTGTGGATCTAAAATGAGCCTCCTGTAGGTAGAATATAATGGGATCATGTCTTTTTTATCCATTTGCCATTTTCTGCTTTTAATTGCAGAGCTTAATCCATTTATATCTAAAATACTGACAAGGAAGCATTTTCTTCTACCATTTTGGTATTTTTTTTTCTGTATGTATTACGCCTTTTTTGCCTCTTGATTCCTTCTTTACTGCCTTTTTTGTTTAATTGGTCTTTTTGTAGTGTACCATTTTTCATTTCCTATATAATTTTTTATTAGTGAGTTCCTTGGAGATTGTAATTACCATCTTAATTTTATAACAGTGAGTTTGAAACCAACTTAGTTTCAGTACTGCATAGAAACTCTGCTCCTGTGCAGTTTTGTTCCTTTATGTTATTACTGTCACAAATTAGGTCTTTATACGTTGTGTACCCATTAATACAGATTTATAATCACTGTTTATGCATTTCTTTAGTAAATCATGTAGTCAATAAAGAAGAGCTATGAACTAGAAATACAATAGTGCTGGCTTTTATATTTACCTGTGTAGTTACTTTTACTGTTCCTTTTCTCATTTAGCTTCAACTGTCTAGTATCTTTCTCTTAGAGCCTGAAAGACTCAGCACCTTTGTACTGCAAGTCTACTAATGATGAACTCCTTTAACTTTCATGTATCTGGGAAGGTCTTAATTTCTCCGTTTCTGAAGGATATTTTTGCCTGGCATCAATTCTTGTTTGGCAGATTTTTATCTTTTAGCATTTTTAACTGTATCATTCCTTTGCCTTCTGTTCACTGTGAGTTCTGATAAGACATAGGCTATTAGTCTTATTGGGGATCCCTTTTATGTGATGACTCACTGTTTTTGCTGCTTTTAAGATTCTGTCTGTTTTGGCTTTTAGAAGTTTGATTAAAGTGTGTTTTGATGTGGCTTTTTTTTATTTTGTGGTATTAGTGTTTGAACTCAGGGCCTTGTGCTTAGCTGGACAAGCTCTCTATCACTTGTTCATGTGCCTTTTCTTGAATTTATTCTACTTGAAATTTGTAGAGCTTCTTGGCATCTAGATTCATATGTGTCATCAAATTTGGGGAGCTGTTGTCTTTTTTTTTTTTTTAATATTCTTAATGTCCCTTTTTCTTCTGAGACTCCCATTACACATATGTTGATGTGCCTGATGTACCTACAAGTCTCTTAGGCTCTGTTTATTATCTTCATTCTTTTTTCTCTCTGCTTCCCAGACTAGGTAATGCATTTGTCCTATTTCCCTGTTCACTGGTTTTTTTCTTCTCTGTGCTTAAGTCTACTATTGAATAACTAGTGAGTTTTTCATTTCAATTGCTTTACTCTTCAGCTCCAGAATTTCTCTTTGATTCCTATTTATAATTTCCACCTTAACAATACTCTCTATTTACTGAGACATACCATTCTCCTGGTTTTCTTTTAGGTCTTTGTTCATGGTTTCCTCTAGCTATTTGATTTATGTAGTAAGCCTAATGTCTGCACTTCCTCAGTCACAGATGTTTCTTTTTCCCCTCTGAATGAATCTATACCCTCTTGTGGTTTTGCCAATCTCTTGAGGTCAACAGAGCTGTGGCTTTCCTAACAGAGTCATGTACTTGCTCCAGGTTTAAGAAATTTCTAATGAGAAATACCCTCCTAAAAACTAATTTGTAGATGGTTTCATTATGGAGTAATTTTTCTTATCTCCAGTTTTGTTGGAAGTTTTAGTGATCTTTTTATCCATCTATATCATTGAATACACAGTTCTGCTAGGGAATAGCCATGGACAGATATAACAAAGACTGGCAGAAAATAAAATGTAATAAAAATCAGAAAAGTATCGAGGAAGTAAGGAAGGAGTAATTCCTATTGCTGGCAATTTTTTTCCCCCAGAAATTCTGTTTAGGTATGACCTCAAATCAGTGTGATTTTGTATTCTACGTTCAAATGTTTTACTTGTATAAAATTCAGAGTAATTTAGATTAAGTATTAGCTTGTATTTACTTGTCTGTTTATTTAGTGCAGTACTAGGGTTTGAACTCAGGGCCTACACCTTGAGTCACTCCACCAGCCCTTTTTTGTGATAGGTTTTTTCGAGATAGGGTCTCATGAACTATTGGCCTGAGGCTGGCTTCAAACTGTGATCCTTCTGATTGCTACCTCCTGAGTAGCTAGGATTACAGGTGTGAGCCACCGACACCTGGCTATTTTTAAATGTGATGAGGCCAGGTGTGGTGGTGCACACCTGTAATCCCAGCTATATGGGAGGCAGGGATTGGAAGGGTCTCAGTTTGAGGCCAGCCTGGGCAAAAAGTTAGACCCCCATGTGAGCATGCAAGTCAATCATGGTGGTACATAGCTGTAATCCCAGCTGTATCAGAGGCAAGGATAGAAAGATCAAAGTGTGAGGCCAACCCTGGGGAAAGAACACAAGACCTTACTCAATAAGTAATTAAATAAATAAAGCAAAAAAGTGGGGGTGGGGGTCTTGAAGTGTGGCTCAAGTGGTAGAGTGCCTGCTTAGCAAGTGCAAAGCCCTGAGTTCAAACCCCAAGACCAACAAAAAGAAAATAGAAAGTGATAATAGTGTCCAGAGATGTTAAATACAGTGGTGTTCATAGAATGAACATGGATTTTTTTTTAGGGGCACACAATGTTATGACTACTCAGAATTGAGTCTACTATCTTCATGCTTGTAACTTTTACTTTACTCTACTGTTTTAATATTCTCATAAGCCTTTTTATCTAGATAAATTTAATAGGACACTTTTGCTGTTTGGGGGGACCATTTTTGTTGGTACTGGGGTTGTTAGCCACTTGAGATGCTCTACCACTTGAGCCAAGCCACCAGCCCTTTTTGCTTTAGTTATTTTTTTGGATAGGGTCTTGTGTTTTTGCATGGGCCAGGCTTGGGTCCTCCTCCTTACGCCTCCCACAGATAGGCACACAACTCCATGCCCAGCTTGTTGGTTGAGACGGGGGTTTTGCTAACTTTTTGCCTAGGCTGACCTCAAACCACAGTCTTCCCAATCTCTACCTCCTGAGTAACTGGGATTGCGGGTGTGAGCAACTATGCCCGGTTTAGGACACTTATTTAATAGATCACAAAATACTCTAAGAAAGATTAAGCTAAGGTGAATAATCCTAATAGATTTCTGTCCAGATTGCCCCTAAATGCTTTTTTGTGATTGGCTATTAGATTTATAAAAAAATAAAATAAAAAACTAAATGGGACTGGAGGAGTGGCTCAAACAGTAGAGTGCCTGCTTTGCAAGTGTGAAGCCCTGTGTTCAGACACTAGTCCCACCAAAAAACAAAATGAAAATAATCTTTGGTGGTTTCTTTGCAGTTTCCCAGATGGAAAATTTGAAATGCAGGGGAGAAGTCATAGCTAAGGAGATCAGTGAAGCCATGAAGGTAAAAGCTAAAAATATCTTTGCTTCAAACATCCGTGTGTGTTTTAGTCTGTTTTAACAGGGGTTCTTAGGAGTCTTTTAATAGGTCATTCATGAATTTATTAATTAACAGTAACATTCACAGTACCATTTGCCAGGTACCTACTATGTGCCAGGTGTCTTTAAAGGTTAGTTATATTTTTGGGTTAATTTTTGGGTGTTAGCAGTCCATCAAAACAGTTTTGGATAATAATACTAGCTAGCATTTATTGTGTGTGACTCAGGCACTGTTTGCATTTGTTATTTCGTCCTTGCACTAACCGTCTGAGACTAGTACTGTTATTTTCCTCATTTTATAGAGGAAGAAACCGAGGCAACAAGAGGCTAAGTAGGCTGCCCAGACAAGTAACTAAGCCAGGATTTAAACTCTAGGTTTCTGTTGTTAGCATCTACTTTTTCTTTTTTCCTTACTTTTTAAAATTTTTTGTGCTGCTAGAGATTGAATCCAGGGCCCTGTCATATGCTAAGCACACACTCTTCCTGTGAGCTATACTCCATCCCAAGAATCTGTATTGTCAACCCATGATATACTACTTCTCCAATCATCATAAGAAAATTGTTTATATTTTGACATTTATTTTACCCAGGGAGGACATTTGGATTTCTAATATATGAAAAATATTTTTAAGCGCCCTCAGAATCTCCCATGTTCTGATGTTAATTTTCTGTAACATTCTTTTATGGTTTGAATTGATTTCATAGTTTTCTGATGACCATCCATCACTCTTTCTTGACCCAGAGTTGGCAATATTGAGCTTGCTCCATGTTTACATAGATAGAGCTTTGACACAACGCAGCCATGTCTCTCCATTTACTTGTCGTCTGTTGTTTCTTTCATGTTACAACACCACGGTTGAGTTCTTTTGTTCTAGTGTACTCTGGTTTGGTTTTATTTATGTGTTTTTTTAAATAGAATCTCAAAAAACGGCCAGGCTAGCCTCAAACTTGTGCTCCTCCTGCCTCAGCTTTCCCAATAACTGATATTACAGGTGTATACCACCATACCCTATCAGTATTGAGGTCTCTTAATTTTATTTATTTATTTATTTATTTATTTATTGGCAGTACTGGTGTTTGAACTTAAGGCACTTCTACTAGGCAGGCTCTGTCACTTAAAGCATGCCTCTCGCCCTTTTTCACTTTTAACATTATTTTCAGGTAGGGTCTTATGTTTTTGACTTGGGCTAGCTTTGTACCACTACCTTCCTAACTGTAGCCTCCCACATAGCTGGGGTTACAGGTGCACACCACCACACCTGGCTTATTTGTTGAAATGGTGTCACTAACTCTTTTGCCCAGGCTGGCCTTGAACTGCAGTCCTCCCATTCTCCTCTTCTCATGTAGGTAAGATTATGGGTATGAGCCACCACACCCGGCCTTATACTAATATTTTAAATGTAAAGTTGAATATTCGTGACTCCTAAAACTAGGTCTCAAAAAGACCTTGACCTAGCTGGGCGCCAGTGGCTGATGCCTGCAATCCTAGCTATTTAGGAGGCAGAGATGGGGAGGATCAAGGTTCAAAGCCAGCTCCAGACAAATAGTTTACCAGACCCTATCTGGAAAAACTCACAATAATTAAAAAGGGCTGGCGGAATGGCTCAAGTGATAATTGAGCTTGCCTAGCAAACATGAGACCCAGAGTTCAAACCCCAGTATTCCCTCCCTCCAAGAAAAAAAAAAGCCTTGACCTGAAGAATTAAAATGTACTTGTGTCTATCTCTGAGTGTTCTTGTTTCAATCTGAAATTAAATGTCAAATTTTTTTTAAAGGCTTTACCTGCGTTAATTGAGCAAGGAGATGGATTTTCCCAAGTCTTAAAGATGCAGCCTGTAATCCATCTGCAGAGAATCCACCAAGAAGTCTTTTCCAGTCGTCCTGGGAAAACAGATGCTAAGCCTAAGAGCTTCGCAGCACAAATAGAAACCACTCCAACAGACACTGCTTCCAGGAAAGCCTCTAACATGGTACTTAAAAGAAAGCCAGCTGCAAACTGTCCCCAGAGAAAGTGCTATCCACTGCGGCCAAAGAGAATTAATCTTGATACGTGAGCCTTTGTTGTGGGAGTTGAAAATAGGCATGATCAACATGTAGGTTACAGACTAGCACTGAGACAGACTTCATTTAAAACAGCAAGTAACTACTGGCATTCTGGGATATGGTGTAATACAGTGTGTCCTCACCATTTCATTTCAGTTTTTTTCATATTGACATGAAGCCCATCGATGGACATTAAGAGTGCAAATTTTTACTTCCTTAAGTGCCACCAGCTCTTGACGGCCTTGCAGCTTCTGTGGAGTCTCACAGGTCACGTATTCTGTTGGGTTTCCTTGATGTACATCTTTCTTTAAAGGGGGCAGGCTATGAAATGTTCTTTATTCAAGTGCTGAAAACTAACCACCAACTCTACCCGGCAGAAGACACATTTTTTTAGACGCAGCTTGACCTGTCAGAATAATGTGAAAATGACATTATAGGCTTTGCTTTGTTCTAAGGTCAGTTAATTTGGATTTGTGGGATTAATTTTAGGATTTGGTCACTAAGACAAAGAAGACAATTATTTGTGTGAGAATTATTCTTAAAAATTGGTGTCTGGTCAATGTTTCTTGCCCACACTTCTTTTCCTACATTTTCATATAATTTGACTTGAAGTAAATAGTTTCTTTTTAGTATTCTTCGTTTATTTCTAAATAGATCCTTCCAGTTCAAAGCATATACAAGATCAGTACATTGGCATATTGTTATTTTGCAACAAGTTCTACTATGCTGAACTGTTTTGCATTTAAGGATGTTTGTATATGTGATACATAATCATTGGTAGCAAGTCTGATGAAGCTGTATCTATTGCACTCCTAATGTTTGGCAACTCTCGTAGCTTATTGTGCCTCTTACTCATACTCCACAGCAGACAGGAGCATCCAGCTGACTGTCCATTTCCTCTTTTTGCTGACTATACTTTCATCCATTTTCAGAGGAATTTAGTAATCATGACTGGGAAAATTGTCCATCTCTTGCTTGTTATGTCCTAATCATAAAGATATAAATATGTTGGGTCTATCACAGTGAAGAAAACTATTCTAAAGCCACTTAATTGCATTCTTGCATTCTGTTTTGATGTTATAATTTGAGATCTGTGTATTTGTACATAGTAATGTTTTTTATTAAAATGATGTATGAAGACTGAACTCTAGATACTGTTTGTTTTCAATATTGTCTTAGGCATTCTTGAGCTCAGCTTTAGTTAGATGGCAGGTTAGCACCTTGCATTTCAGAACATGCTAAACATCACTTTAAAATTGTTTTAAGGCTGTAGAATATAGCTATTCTTACAGAGCTAATTTTTTCATAGTATTAAACTTCTGTGTGACTTACTTCAAAATTCCCCAAACAAAAAATTTATTAGTTATGTTTAGACTATGTGAGGTAATCACACATTCATTAAAAAACTATCCGCCGCCCCCATTTAAGGGATGCAGTCATGATACATAGAGTTAAAAAATGTGATATCTTAGGTTTATCTTCAAATATTTCAGCAAAGAAATGGAATAGATTAAGCAAATGTGGCAAAAAATTTTGATAACATTGAATCTGTGTGATGGATATATCCCTTCTATTTTTGTGTCCAGAAATTTTATAATTAAAAAATATTGTGTTTTATCTAAAGCAGATACCTTAAAGCAACTGAGGCCAATAGGAAAAGGGGACCAGGAACTAGAGAAAAGGTTAGATCAAAAAGAATTAACCTAGAAGGTAACACCCACGCACAGGAAATCAATGTGAGTCAATGCCCTGTATAGCTATCCTTATCTCAACCAGCAAAACCCCTTGTTCCTTCCTATTATTGCTTATACTCTCTCTACAACAAAATTAGAGATAAGGGCAAAATAGTTTCTGCGGGGTATTGAGGGGGGGAGTGGGTGGTAAGGGAGGGGGTGGGGGCAAGGGGGAGAAATGAACCAAGCCTTGTATGCACATATGAATAATAAAAGAAAAATGAAAAACAAAACAAAACAAAAAAAACCAAAATTCTCCATCAAAAAAAAAAAAATAAATAAAAAATATTGTGTTTTATTATAAAGCCCTCAAGACAGCTAAGCTTGAACTTCCCCTTGAGAATCCATAGTCTCACTCCACAGTTCCAGCAGAATTTAAAGTACAAATGCCATTTGGCATTAGTAACTAAGATAAACATGACTGTATCATTAGTAACGTTGAATAAGTATAAACTGTAACAGGAGAAAAAGCATTTCTTCATAGGCCAAGAATTAGCAAACTAAGGACTAAAAGTTTAAAAAAAAAAGCAGTATTAGGGAATATTGGGAATGTTGAAGGAAAAAAATTGAAAATAACATCTTGGTCTCTATTGGAAAAAGAAGACTGGATTAGATAGGGTCTTAAAATTCTCATAGCAAAATGTAAACACAAGTCAAATCTGGTCCCAAGGGAGATTCAGGGTTTTATTAGTATGCCTACATAAATTTGAACACTGTCAAAGGGGGGAGGTGACAAAAAATGATCTAAAATCAATAGTTATGATGGTTGCTTTGTGAATATACTAAAAACCATTGCACAGTGCACTTTAAAAAGGAGAATGGAATGACGTGTGAGGTATACCTCAACAAAGAGAATAAAGAAATAGAAATGGTCCAAGAAACATTTCCAGAACTGAAGAGTACCAAGTATTCTTCAGGTTAGTGTGGTGTGCCCTGGTCAATGTAACAGAATTGAGAGGTGGTGGGACCTTAAAGAGGTAATTAAAGGGGGGACTCCACCCTCACAAAGGGATTAATGTATTCCTGAAAGAGTGGATTGTGTCGACTTCCTGCATTTGCTCTCTTGCTTCCCCTGTCTTTGCACAAACCCCTTGCCTCTTCTGCTTTTCTACCATGCGTCTTAAGTATGTGGTGCTCACCCGAAGCTGAGCAGATGCCAGGCCTATGTTCTTGGACTTCCAGAACTATGAGCCAAACAAGCCTCTTTTCTTTATAAGGTACCAACCTGAGATATGTTTTTACAGCAAGAGAAAACAAAGACACTTAAGTTTCCAGAAGGAAAAGGCCCACTGAGTAGTCAGTGCATGAAATGAAAAAAAGACAAAAACCAAAAATCACCCTCCACCAAGATTCACTGGGAAATGTTAGAACCACCAAGGATACAGAGAAGTCCCTGAAATTTCCAGTGGGAGAAAAAGATCACAAAAGGAGAACTTAAATGGCATTAAAGTACTAAGCAATTCTAGAATGTACATGCCTCAGAGTAGTACAACCTTGAAATACTAAGCATGAATAATTTGCAACCTAGCTAATTGCCAAGCTAATAAAATCAAGTATGCAGTTAGTCAAAAGTTGTTCTCAGAGATGCAATCTCAAAAGGGGGGAAAAAAAACCTGAAGCATCCTGGGGATGTGGTGCAACACAAAGGGTAAACAAAAATTTTAGCAACCAGAATATCTGAGAGACAGGCCCCAAAAGACAGCTTTGCATGTCTACAGGACACTCACTACTCAACCGATGTGGAGAACGGTCCAGCCAGTCCAGGTTAAAAGAATCTGTAGGGTAACTGATAACAAGAGTGAGAGTGCTAACCACGGGAAGATGGTAGAAAGGAGATACTTTACAGTATTGTTCAGACACTCAAACAAAAGCGGTGATCACTATAGTAAAAAGCAGAAAAAGATGTAATCATAGTTACAAATTGGTTCCATGGTTAAGATTTATGTAGGCATACTAATAAAAACTGAATCTTAATTCAATGAAGAATTGGAACTGTTAAACTGAGAGGCCGCGAGGGTAGAAATTAGCAGTTAGTACATCTGGGGATCTGAACAGACAGACAGACATTGGTCAAAGACTGAAGCAGGGTTTTGGAGCCCCCTGAGGTGGCTTGGTCCTTGGATGACCTGGGTGTCTGAGGACATGGGGTGGGGGCAGGGCTGGGGCATTGAAAAGGAAACAGTCTGGTGTTCAGATACTCAATATTTATATAACTTACATGGTTGTTCAGTATGATCAACCAAGTATTAGCCTGAAATAAGAATTGTGGGGAGTGAAATCTTTGCCCACCACTACTGAACAGAAGTGGACAATCTCTAGAACAGTTGAATGCACAAACTGCCCAATGAGGATATTGAGAAAAACTAGAATAAAGAGCTGAAACAGTGCAAAGTGTACTCTGGATAGACTTAAGTGGGGGAAATGGGCCAGGGACTGTTGTTGTTACAGCTTTATAGATTTGATTTTTATGTGCAAATTCTTGAGTATAAATAAATTTGATTTTTAAATGATTTTAAAACTATATCACAAATGCAAGTGAACGTGAATTATCTTCTGTCTTCCACTCATCATAAAGAAACAAATTATCCCTTAGAAGCCATCTCAGGATTTCAGTTGTATTATCACATTCTATTTCAGATAAGTCTCATATTCTCTGTTTTTGGCAGACAGTATACAGTTTTTGTTTCTGTGAGGTTTTTTGTTATTCCCCCTGACTGTTTGTTTTGTAAATTAAATTATCAGATTACTAAGTCTCTGTGTACAAAAATGAAAGGGAAAAAATCTTTTGAGAGAACCACTAAAGCCATCTTGGGGATTTTATGTGAAAAGATTTGGGGATAGTAATATATTCATTCAAAGCTTTGAGAGTGAAGAGTCCTGTAAGTCACTGCTGTCCTTTGTGGCTTGGACCCCATGGGACCTCCACTGGCATTAGTTGAATGAATGAATGGTACTTCGCATTGCCAATTTGTAACCTGTCAGTTGCTCGATCACTGTCTTGGGCGTTAGTGACTTGTATTCACATTCACTATTAACTGAACTTAGAAGATGCAAGTGATGGAAGGGAGGGAGATGTAAAGGAGTAAGAACAAATTCCTAGGAAAGTTGCATAAGGAGGACCCTCCTGATGCCTTGTCCCCTTGTCCCTGCAGGACATCAGAGCAGAGGGTGGCATTCACACCCTCAGATGGACCCGAGGGCACTAACAGGCATGTTTTCCAGATCCTCTTCTCTTGGCTTGACTTGTGTGAGTGGTCTGAGATGAACATAAAAGAAAACCCAACTCCTTCAAGGTTATACTGGGCTACATAGTGAGAACTTGTCTCTTAAAAAAAAAAGAAAATCCAACTCCTGGCCTTCTGCTCCAGCTGATTCCCGTGCCTGTGAAAGATCAGGCATCTCGATCAACACTGTGATTTCCTCTGAACAACTCTAGCCTTGGTGCAGGCCCAGTGGCTCCTTGCCCTGTCTCCTGTCTTGATGTCATTGGCTGGCTGTCCATCTCTAGTCCTGATACCACCTCAATGGGAATCTCCATACTCCTCTTCGTGGGTCCACTCGTGAGTACCTGAGACCTGAGCCGTTCACTCTTGTCAGTCCTTCAAAGCTCTCTCATGGTTTAGTTTCTCCACATGTTAGCCTGTGGCTACCATCTCCCTGGGTTTCCTGCTAAAGGATCACCCCACCAACCTGCCCTTTAATCCTCTCATCTCTGCCCTTCATAGCACAGCTGGTTTTCCCCTATTATAGCTCTCATGCTCCTTTGTCCCAAATGTGAAACTTTCCTTTGAGCTGTTTCGCAGCTGAGCACGCTGCAGGCAGAGTGGGAATGGGAAAAAGGAAAAGAGGGGAAACTCTGACCTTGGTATCTTCATTTCCCTCAGAAAAAATTTAGCAGGGACTGGGGGAAGGCTAAGGTAAATATGAATTCTCTCTGATTGTATAGTACATATGACCTGTCTGCCACCTTGGTCCTATGAGGGAGTAGAAATTAAGGAAGAAGATTTGCGAAATAATTAAATTCAGACAGCTGTTTTGTTCCACAAAATGACTCCAAATGGTGAGCTAAGAGGTGTATGGTTGCACTGCACAGGTGTAAACCAAGGCACAGACCTTGCCTACTGCAATTCACCTGAGTCACAGGACATCAATGGCAGCTGGGGATCGATCCCTAAGGGAAGGGAGACTCAGGACCCAGAGAACCCTGCACTTTTGTTCCTCGGGAGAACGTGAGTATGACACTCTTGAGTTTGCAGAACTGACTTCTTACAAGAAATGGTCTTGTATGTTTGCAGAAACTGATGGAACATTAAGAAATTCTTCTAATTTACTAGCAAATTTTAGTATTTGCTGCAATTTTTTGTTGTAACC